GCACGTGGGTCAGGGCAATCCCAAGCACAAAGAGTAGATGGGTGGAGAAGGAATGGGAAGCAGCACTGAGGGGAAGGACTTGTGGGTGTTGGGTGATGAGAATCTGGTACTGTGATGAGCTGGTTCTGTGTGCTGGAGCCCAGAAACCAACCATATTTGGGCTCCACTGAAAGAAGCGTGGGCAGTAGGTCAAAGGGGGGGATTCTTCCCCTTTACTCTGGTGAGACCCTCCTTCAGGGCTGAGTCAAGTTCTGAGGTCCCCAACTAAAGAAGGACACAGAGCTGTTGGACTGAGTCCAGAGGAGGACATGGAGGTGGCCAGAAGTCTGGAGCAGTTCTGCTCTGGAGTCAAGCTGAAGGAGTTGGGGTTGTTCAGCCTGGATAAGAGGAGGTTCCAGGGAGAACTTAGAGCACTTTCCAGTGCCTGAAGGGGCTCCAGGAAAGCTGGGGAGGGTCTTTGGACAAGGGCAGGGAGGGATGGGAGCAGGGGGAAGGGTTTTAAACTGGAAGTGGGGAGATTTAAGTTAGATGTTAGAAAGAAATTCTTGGCTGTGAGGGTGGTGAGACACTGGCCCAGGTTGCCCAGAGAAGCTGTGGCTGCCCCATCCCTGGCAGTGTTGAAGGGCAGGTTGGATGGGACTTGGAGCAGCCTGGGCTGGTGGGAGGTGTCCCTGCCCATGCAGGGGGGTTGGAACTAGATGATCTTTAAGGTCCCTTCCAACCCAAACCAGGCTGGAGCTCTGTGTTCACACCACAGGGGCAGTGAGGGGCTGCACAGCTCAGTGTTGTACCTGAACCCAGCCAGTCTTTTTTCTCAAGCAGCTCATTTGGTTCTAGATGTGAGCTGTCCTTACCAGTCAGCTGAAAGTGCTTTTACACTTCAAAAACCCCTGAATAGTGCAGTTAAAATCTTCAAAATCAGCTAGCTTAAATCATGTTTTAGAGCAGAAACTCCCTGGGGATCATCAGCCACTTCTGCTTTGCAGAGTCAACAGAAGCCTCAGAGGGGCAATGATGAGTTGGTCAAATACTTTGCAGGTGAAAAACTAAGACCAGTATTTGTGATGAAATTACATCTAAAATATTCTCTTCAGTTCAAATCACAGAATCTCCTGCCATTGAGGTATTTGTGGGACAATTTCAAAACCAACCGATAGAGAAGTAGAGAGAATATAAAATGCTGCAATGCTGTGTAAATATAGTGGCCTTTAAATACTTAAAGTGGTCAAAATTAAATGAAGGGGATGACAGTTTGAGGTCAGGTTTGCATAGTAAAGGTTGCTTTCATAGAACCAGAGAATGATCTTCAAGATCATCTAATTCAAACCCCCCTGCATGGGCAGAGACACTTCCCACTAGACCAGGTTGCTCCAAGCCCCATCCAGCCTGGCCTTGAACACTTCCAGGGAGATGTAAGTCAGATTCTCCCAGCCTTTTAATTCACCTCACAGCTTTCAGGCACTGTGTTTACTTACACCTTTGATTTGCCCCCCAGGACCCCATTCCATGCTGACGTCTTCCGTTCCTATAGCTGGTCAGCCAACATATGTGGGAGGAAGAGGTGGCTGCTGTACCCTGCAGGACAGGAGGAGTACCTGAAGGACCACCATGGCAACTTGCCCTTTGATGTGACTGCCCCCAGCCTTCGGGACAAGAGCGTTTACCCTCGCTACAACCAAAGCCAACCCCCTGTTGAAATTGTGCAGGAAGCAGGGGAGATAGTTTTCATCCCCAGTGGATGGCATCATCAAGTTTACAATCTGGTAAGGTTTACTGATACCAACCCCTTTCATGGCAGAGGGAGATAATCTCTTCTGGAGACAGGGTAGGAAGGTGCTGGAATAGGTTGACAGGGAGAGCGTGGCTGTTGTTACAGCTATTTCCTCCCCCTTTCCTGTGAAGAGCCCCATAACCATTTGAATTTTTCCTTCAGGAGGACACCATTTCCATTAACCACAACTGGGTGAATGGCTGCAACGTGGCTATCATGTGGGGCTTCCTGCAGGATGAATTAGCAGCTGTCCAAAGGGAAATCAATCAATGGAAGGACCCTATAGATGATTGGCACCTACAATGCCAGGTATAACAACATGATGCTGACTGCCTGACTCTCTGTTAGAGGATTCTGGGGTACATTGGACCACCTTATGGGGTCTAAGACACACAGGTCCTTACCCTCATACTGGGAATTAGCATGTTTTACACAGAAGTAGGAACTGGTGACAACTTTATATTATTATTAAATTAAAATGAAACTAAATATTCCTTCAGGAACATGTGCACTGGTACAAGCTTTTCCCTGTTTGCTGTGTCAGGGAGGTGAGGATGTTGTCTGAAAAACTAATGCCTCAACTACTCTTCTCTAAGTATCCAGATTAGTATCAGCATCAAGGCCAACCCTTTCTGTAGCATTTCCATTCCCCCTTATATAAGTGCTTTTTCATGTAAACAAAAGAACTGATAAGGCTGACCCCACACAAAGTGGTTTCAGGACAATTCATGATGAAACAGTGAAGCTGAAACAAGCAAAATGAAGGAGGCAGCAGGTTTCTGTGTCTGCAGAGTGATGCTTTCAGAGCACGTCACTGTATTGAGCAGTGTTATACCTTGTTTGCTTCCAAAATATTAAGCATGAAACAAATATAAAGTTTATTTCTGAAGGCTGTTACTGCTGTTAGGTTGCTAGAATTAAAAAAGAGTTTTAAAAACCAGCTACTTAGTACTAAGAAGAAACAGCCTGTTGCTTTTGGGACTAGTGGCATTTCAAGTAAGGTAAAGAATTTTAGTGCCATGGGGGAATGACAAAAAAACACATTTAAACCTGGTTATTTATGATTCCAGATAATACCAGATAATACGTTCCAGATTAATATGTTGTTGTAATTTTTACTGTAAATAAGAGAGAGTTGTTTCCATTTCAGTGCTGGTTTTTTTCCCCCTAGTTGATCCTGAAGTCTTGCACGGGTATAGACTACAAAGAGTTCTACAACTTCCTCAAAATTATTGCAGAGAACAGGATTTCAGTCTTGGAAAAGGGCCTCGATGATGAAGCTTCAGCAAAGAACACTCCAAAAGCTGCCATTTCCACCTTGGGCATGCTCCATGCAGTGTTTGATTTAAAGAGGACTGTGAAGGTGTTAACATCATTGAGTGCTAATGAAGATTTCAAGAAGCTAGACCTGACCTCACTTTCTCCACCTCCGGAGGCATTACTGCACCACTTGAAAGCAGCAATAGACACAGCACTACTCTAACTTCCTATTTATTCAGTTCTTTGTAAAATGAACCTTTTGCAAAATGGGTGTTTGTAGAAGACTGACTCCTCCCTGTTTAATAGCTGTTGCAGTTGAAGTACAAAGAGCCTTAATATAGAGTGGGGAGAGAACACATTCACAAGAAGACTGAACACTTTTTAACTTGCCAGCATTTAATTATCTAGAGTAACTGGACAGGGAAAAAAATTAACACTCAGATAAAGGGAAAACCCAAATAATTTTAGTAGTATATTGAGCCCTGCTGGTGAGTATGCATTCAGGGAGGGGAAACAGAACTCAGTAGATGAAACTTGGGTCTGTCAGGGGCAAACACTGAGATTTCACAGGTCTGCACCATATTCCCTGTGTATAGACAGCAAACCTGCACTGCAGGCTTCAGCAGTGAAGCTCTGCTTTGTCTGCTCACACCTAAATTGCTTTAAGACCTGTTCTGCTTCCAGGTACAGCTCAGCCTTTTTTCAAATATTGGAGTACCCTGGTCTGTTTCCCCTGAAGCCTGAGCTGGCTCCACAGCTGAAGCCTAGATATGCAGGAGCTGACTGTCCTATTTTCCTGTACAGTGGCATCTCTTCAAAGCTGAAAATCTCAAGTAGAGGCAGCTTTCATCCTGCTGCAGGGCCTGCAGGATTAAATTGAACATATCAAGAAGCTGGAGTCCTCATATCCAATCATTCTAAGCATGTGATCCACCCAAGCTCAAAAGGACCAACTTGAATGTGCTCTCAGCTCTCAACACACTATTTCAAGGCACAGTTTTTTTATCAAGCAGAGATGTGATTGATTAGGGAAGCTAGCAAGGAGCCTTGTATTATCTCCTAAAAAAAAAGCCATGCTGTTAGCACACCAAACAGCACCACTGCATGGTTACAGAGCACAATTTGCAACCTGAATGCTAAAAGAGAATTTCCAGTGAAGGATCCTTCTTGCTTTTACTGGCTTGTGAGAAAGCACAAATGGCTGCACACTGTTACCTGAGTTGCCCTTTTAGGGCTCACTTGAATTCTAGCTCAAGAACTTCCTCAGTTTTACTACCAGATGACCAGTAAGAGCAACTATTAACCCTATGTTTAGAAAATGCAATGGTAGAAATCCTCAGTAAGCTGAAAAAAAAAACAACCCACAAACACAAGCTCATTGTTTTCTAGATAATCCTGTGGAGTTTCTACATGCATGTATTTTGCATGTCCTATTTTCTAGTAAAATTTCTGGATTTTGAGTAGGAAGTGAACTTAATACCCAGAGCATGGAAGAATGCAGGATGGAGAAAAGAGACTTTTGTTGTTGTTGTTGTTGTTGAACAGCTGTGACTACTTGTCAGTGATTCAACCTTCTGGCAGGGTGTTTCTTTGGACTAGAAAAGTGCCAGTTTGAAGCAGCTCTGAAATTAGAAGTTCACAGCTGTTTCTTGTAACTGTTTCCACTCCAAAAGGCAGGCAAGCTGGAGCTTTCTTCCTTCTGTGAGTAAGGTGAGATTTCATGGAGGTGAGGAACAATGGTTTCCAGCTGACAGATCAGTGTATTGGTAGGAAAGCATGTTTTTGATCTTGTGTTCCCCACTCTCACTGCATGCTGTGTAACTGGTGTTGGCACCAACCACTTGAAACACTGCAGTTTTATACAGGGTTTGCTTGGATGAGCAGTACTTTTTCATTTCATGTCCCATGAAGCTGGAACTACTTGACTTTGCTGTGTGAAAACAGCAAAAATACAAGTCTGGCTTTTACATGGAGAACCCAGTATCTCAACATACCCAGGACCAATGTAAACACTACTGTCCAGCAGATGACATCCTCCTTTGGATGGATGCATGGCAGGAGTTTGCTGTGATCAAAAAACCAGGCAGGTTCTCAGGGAAGAGGCATCAATCTTGCAGTTAGTTCCTCTTCCCTATGGAACAAGGGTGAGGAAGAAGATAGGCTAGCATGGTAGGGTGGGTAAAGAGGTGTCTAAGTAAAGGAAAGTGGGTCTCAGCTACTCTCTTCATGTCATGCCACAACAGCTTTAGCTCTGAAGATGGATAACATCCCTCCTTCATAAGGCCTGCCAAGGCTTAATGTGAGCAGTGCAAGACAATGGGGTAAAATGTAGTTCTTTAATTGCAGGAAGTGATCTTCAAGTTTAAACCATGTTCTCCTTACTAAATTAGTAGGGAGCAGAGGCACAAAAATTAGTTTTACTCATTCAGCCTCTTACAATTACATGAGGAAACTGATTTGTAGCTCAGATTCTTCATTCCCATGAAGGATCAAGGCAGTAAGGGAGCCACTTATTTTCATAGAATCCTAGAATGCCAGGTTGGAAGGGACCTCAAGGATCATGTGGTCCAACCTCTCTAGGTACTACTCTAGTTGATATGAGATGCTCAGCACCCTGTCAAGATGAGACTTCAAACTGTCCAATGTGGGGGAATCCTCCACTTCCCTGGGAGACTCTTCCAATGTTTACTTCTTGTGTCCAACTGGAATCTTCCCAGGAGCAACTTGTCCCCTTGTCTTTTCCATCTGACTCCTGGTAAATGGGGAGTCTCCTTCTCCTTGGGAGCCACCCTTGAAGTACTGAGACATGGTGTTAAGGTCTCCCTGAAGCTGAACAAACCCAGTTTTCTCATCCTCTCCTCATAAGGCAGGTCCTCCAGTCCTCTGTAAAGGACTTTTGTAAAGTTGAAGAGAGGAAAATAAATTCTCATATGCCTGAAGACAGCAATGAGATTGGAATAAGTAGTATGCAAGCCTGGAATCTCTCTTAAAAATTAAACAGCTTTATTTAAATACCAAGTTACTGTAAAACATACATTAGGATACTCTCATACCAATATTTAACAATTGTAATCAATGTACTATTTATTAAAGCATAATACTTGTGATAAACAGGAGGCAACAGTCTGTAGAGTTTTGTTTTGTTTTCCTAAAGTCACAGACCTGGACAATTTTAAAGTCAAACTGTAAAAAACCAAATAAACATCAGGTTAAAATCTAGTTCAAAAGAGCTCTTGCTCTAATAAGCAATTCAGACAAGAGTGTTTTTGTCTGGTAGGAGCAGGATACTAAATATCCATTTGCCTTTTAGAAAGGCAGCATAAAACCCAGCCCAATTCTAATCTGATTTGTACCCCACTGCTGTCAGTGGGCAGTCTGTCAGCACAAAGGAAAGCCAGTGTTTTTTGCAGCTCTGTCAGTGCAGAAAACCAGGTGGTTTTGTGTTTTCTCTCACCAGGTTTTGAGATGTCTGAGCCCAGGACAACGTGTGTCCTTTCTGTAAGGGAGCACACAGGAACCCCTGCAGAGTTACAAAGCAGCACTACCACGTTCAAGGTGCAAATGTGATATCCCTGAGATTTAACAGGAGTCTGCAGAGTATAAATATACACTTGTAAGTATCATAAACCAAAGAAGTTAGTCAATAGCAGCTTGACAATGCAATGGAGAGGTACTGAGTTTGGCATAGGTAGGAAGAGGAATAGGAAAACCTTCCTCTTGGGGGTACAGGAAACATCACCTCACTCCTGGAAAAGGTTGTTCAGGAACATGGAGATGGCCTTTCTTGTCCATGCCACATTTCTGCCAACCAGAAATTGTCCCACCAAAACAGTTGTGGTTTCAGTTGACTCCTTTCTATAAAAAAAAAAAACCCAAAACCAAAACCTCTTTTCCCTTCTGTCAGTTCACCAGCACAAAACAAACAGCACCGGGGAGAACAGTTACACTGGGTTTCAAGAGTTGCTGTTTGCAGGAAAGTGAAATAAAACTACAGGGCAAAAGAAACCTTGGCCACTTTCCTCAAAGAGATTCCCAAACGCAAGCTGAAGTTGAGTATTGAAGGTTTTTAGTCCACAGCATCCACGTCTGCACTTTGTGATCATAGCTTGTCTAAGAGAAAACCCAGAGAGAAACCCTCAGCTCATCAGTAACTGTTCTTCCCTTTATCAAAGCAGCCAGAACAGCAGGGACTTGATTGCTTCTTCATCCAACAGTGTTTGGTCAAGAAAGTGCAGCAGGGAGAGGGGGTTCCCAACAGGTCCTCAGGCTCAGGAGCTGTGAGTCACGTGGCAGTTCTCTCTTTGGTGGAGTCTCATCCTTTGTATGTGCTCGTAGCAGGACTGGGCAAGGAACAGAGCAACTCAGTAAGGAGAAGTTTTGGAACTTTGAGCCAAAATGTGGTCTCTTGAACACAAAGTGAAGCCACACTGCCCCACGGGCTAGACCAAAGATTAAATCTACACATTACAAGTTAAAGATAAGCATATTTTCTAGATTAAAAAGAAAATAGCCTGTGTTAGATGTTTAAACAGCCTACATTTAAAATTTAATCTAAAATGAGTATAACACATCAGTGTCTCTGCTAAAGAAAGACTAAGGCAGCTTGCAACTGTCATTGATGAAAACATTTCCTTACCTCCAAAGCTGTTAACAGAAAGTCATACATTCCCCCTTGATTGGTGGGGTCCATCAAGTCTCTGATCAGATGGATTTCGGCTCCCAGGTGCTGTATTCTAGGGGGGAAAAAAATGTCACAACAAGAACAAAGCTCTGGGCATGGTGTTTGTGAGTGTGTGTTTACATCAGATTATGGAGAGAAGGGGGCACAGATCTGGAAAAACATTGCTGATTCCTTGTGCATCACCTGGATCTTCTGGAGGAGGAGTCCTTGAGATACCTGGCATAACTAGATGTCACCAAAAGTACTCTATCATAAAAAAGAAATTAAACTCTTTCATTTTATGATCTCTCTTATTCCACTCCTCTCTCACTTACAGTCAAGAAATCTGCCTGGCAAACAAACCTGGGCCATCCAACATGATCACAGAAAAGACAAACAAACCAAACCTACAAACTTCTGGGTTTCATGGCCCCAAGTTTAAACATTTCACCTCTCTTTTTTTTTGGAGAGCAAGCACATCCAGAAAGACAGGCAAGGATTTTTAGTCAGACTTGCCAGGACAACAAAAAAAAAAAAGACAGTTTCATTCTACTGGATGTAAGCAGATTCCTGCAGTTCCAGAGAAGGCAGCACAGCCATGGCCTTTTTGGCAGAAATGTGTTACATTTGCAGCCAATCCCACACAGGAAAAGTCTAATTATTAGATGGCCAATGTTCAAGACCTTCCTAGTCTCCAAAGTGAAACACAGTGCCCCACTGACAGTGGTAAACAGAAGATGGATGATGTATAGATGATGCCTTGAAGGCATCAACAATTTGCCTCAAATCACAGAATGGTAGGATGATTGGGTTGAAAGGGAACTCTGGAGATCATCAAGTCCAACCCCCCTGCCAGAGCAGAAACCCATGGGGCAGATCACACAGAAACACATCCAGTTGGATCTTGAAAATCTCCAGAGAAGGAGACTCCACCACCTCTCTGGGCAGCCTGTCCCAGGGCTCTGTCACCCTCACAGTAAAGAAGTTTTCCTCATGTTGAGGTGGAACTTCCTGTGCTCCAGTTTGTGTCCCTTGCCCCTCATCCTGTCACAGGGCACAAATTAAAAGAAACTGGTTCCCTTTTCTTGACATCCACCTATCCTAGCTAAAGCCAGGTTCTCAGTCTTCTCCTCTCTAGACTAAACAGCCCCAGGTCTCTCAGCCTTTCCTCATAAGACAGATGTTCCAGTCCCTTCATCATCTTTGTAGCCTCTGTTGGACTCTCCCTTTTCCATCTCTGTCCCTTTTGAAATGAGGAGCCCACAACTGAATACAAAGACTTCATGTTACTATTTTCTATGGTAACCTGAGATGCAGGTAAGACCACATTTCCCATGACAACCCCAAACTCTCCTCTTGGGTAAGACATGGACCCTCAAGAACTGCCTAACCATAGTATACCTTGGTCAACACCATCACAGCACAGCTGGCAGGCAGGAGCACACAGAAACCCAAACACGTATCAGGAAGCAACCAAACATGTTCAAACACAAACCCCAGTTTTTCCTTGATATTATTTGGCCTGGAAACGTGGCTGGGCTTTCTCTGCTCGAGGTGCCTCATGCCAACAGGACTGGGGAATGAGAAGCTTTCACTTACTTTGCTCGGGACACAACATACATCAGTAAGGGCAGCAGGTCATCCATGGGGAGCTTGTAGTCCTTCTCCACCACTCGGGACACTGTGCTCTCTATCTCCTCGTATGTCTTCTGGAGGATCACAAGCTTTTCCCTGGGATCCACTGTGGTGCTGTCAGTGTGAAAACAGCCATGTCAAAGGTGCTTCTACTGCACAGCTAAAAGGGTAAAGCAGCAGAACTACACAACTCAGAGCAGGCTGCCAAGTTACAAACAAAACATCTGTTGACTATTTCAAATGACTGCACCAAAATGAGGTCTAGAAGGTTGTGCTAAGAGGCCTCCTCAGGGAGTAACTTGAGTCTTTTCAAGTCCTAAGTAAGACCTGCTCACCCTGGTTCAACCTTCCCTTTCAGATGGGACTAGCCTGAGCCACAGTCCCTCAAATAAAAGCTAAATTGTATGAGATGAATCACTTTGGGCAGTTATATCAAGATACTGCTCTTGTGAGTGACTAATACAGTTATCACACCTAGAAGGTGTTTTTTTGTGCCTGTAATGTCCTGCCAAACTGCACTTGGCCTGTGCTGCCTTCTCCAGAAGAGAAGTCATGTTGGCTTACCTAGGGAGGCTCTCACCAGGACTACAGAGCTGAGACATACTTAAGAGACCTGATAGATCTCAAAACCACCATCCCCTAGGCTGGACTTGATGGCAGTAAATCAAGCTGAGCTTCTTAAATTGAGCTCTGCTTTGCTACATTAATATCTTGGGATACTACACTGACCAGATAACCCTCATGTAGCTCCATGTATCCAGAGCAAGGGGCTCAAACACAGTGAGGCAGTCACAGGCAGGTCCAATTTGCTGTGCCCACTGTCAGATTTGGGGTAGGAATGTCTCCA